GGGGTCCATTCCTGGGGGCTTGGGGCTGTTCCTGGGGGGCTGGTTGTTAGGGGGCTGTTCCTGGGGGCTGGGTTTTGGGGGAGTCAATTCCTGGGGGGCTGGGGGCGTGTTCCTGGGGGCTGGGTTTTGGGGCGGGTCAATTCCTGGGGGGCTGGGGACGTGTTCCTGGGGGTCTCGGTGTTAGGGGGCAGTTCCTGGGGGGCTGGGTTTTGGGAAGGTCCATTCCTGGGCGTGTGGGGGGGTCAGTTCCCAGGGGGTGGTTGTTGGGGGGGGGTCCATTCCTGGAGGGATGGGGGGCAGTTGTTGGGGGCTGGTTGTGGGGCTGGGATGGAAGGAGCAGCCCCAGCTTGACTGGGCAGATCCTGACTCCACCTGTCTGTCCGTGCGTCCGTCTGTCCCCCTCAAGTGGCCCCAAAGCGACACCTGATGGCACAGAAATAAAGAGGCTTTGGAGAGGGGAAATCGGCTCCTTCTGATTATTGGGTGGTGAACGGGGTTTGGTGTGTGTCACTGCCCCCCCCGGACCCTCCCCACCCCATCAGCTAACGCTGCCCCCCCCCCAGAAGCCCTCCCCAGGGACCCCTCTCTCCCCAGCCCTGCAGCGGGCAGGCGGGGTCTGTTCAGGTGGTTCCTGGCCAGGGCTCAGATGCCCAAAATAACCAGCAGCAGAATCCATTTCCTAGAACTAGAGAGAGATTCCCGGGGGGAGTGGGGGGTGATGGAAGGTTTGAGGAGAGCTGGATGGAGGAGGGATTATAGAGGGATGCACAGATGATGGAGGGATGCAGGGTGGGATGGAGGGATGCAGGGATGATGGAGGAAGGGAGGGAGGGATGATAGAGGGATGACGGAGGGTTTGAGGAGAGCTGGATGGAGGAGGGATTATAGAGGGATGGAGGGAGAGATTTAGGGATGATGGAGGAATGGATGGATGATGGAGGGATGCAGGGTGGGATGGAGGCAGGGAGGGAGGGATGATAGAGGGATGATGGAGGGTTTGAGGAGAGCTGGATGGAGGAGGGATTATAGAGGGATGGAGGGAGAGATTTAGGGATGATGGAGGAATGGATGGATGATGGAGGGATGCAGGGTGGGATGGAGGGATGCAGGGAGGGAGGAAGGGAGGGAGGGATGATAGAGGGATGACGGAGGGTTTGAGGAGAGCTGGATGGAGGAGGGATTATAGAGGGATGCACAGATGATGGAGGGATGCAGGGAGGGAGGAAGGGAGGGAGGGAGGGAGGAAGGGAGGGAGGGATGATAGAGGGATGACAGAGGGTTTGGGGAGAGCTGGAGGAGGGCTGAGAGCTCGGATAAATCTGACAGTTTCTATCACTAATCCCGGCCCCTGAGCCACAGCCAGGGCCGGGGAGAGTGCACCCTACTAACGCCGCCCAGCCCGGCTCCCCCCCCCCACTTCCCCCCTCTCCTCCAGCCCAGGCTGTCATGGGGCAGGGTGTGGGGACCTCGGTGCTCAGCACCCACTCCAGCCGCTGACGCGCTCACGGCCTGGCGCTGCCGCAGCGTCTCTCTCACACCTTGTCCGGACGATAAGGGGGAGGCCCAAAATAACCCCTCGAGTGCCCCTAATCTTGGGTCATGGGATGGGGGTTGGCCGGGATGGGGGGAGGGGTGGCGCTGTCTGATCAGGCTCATCCCGCACCAAGGGGTCGACCCCAGGGAGGGGGGGCCAGGTCCAAATCCAGCCCTTCCCCCTCCCCCACCATCCTGAGCCCAAGGGCAGGAAATTAGAGATGGGGATTAGCGGGG